CTTTCGACCCCCGATCTCCGTTGACCAGAGCGCCTGTGGCTTCACCGGCGGAAAGTTGAGAAAGCATCTCTGCGGCCTCCGACGAGCGGAACGTTTCGGGCGCGGCCCGGGCGGCTTCTCTGCGTGGCGGAAGGACCCAGGTTCCTGACTCTGGTCCATGGAAGAGGCCGAAAGACAAAATAGCTTTACACATCTAGGGGAAGCTCAATCAGTGGCCAAGATGAAAGTCACAGCCGAACATGTGAGCCAGGACTGTCCTGTTGTCGAAGGGGCCAAGAGGGCCACGCGGAATTGAAAAGAGAAGGCCCCAACAATATGAAAGAAACTCCCAGAATAAAAACCAGGCTTGATCCAACTCACCAAACAAGAAAGTGCGCGCAGAGCCCGTAAAACAATCAGTCTCCCAAATGTAAAAAAAAATCAACCAAGAAGGAACAAAGAAGACCATCATCGATACGCGGTATTTAAAGAGACTACCAAGAACCATGATGAATCAATCTCTCGGGCAGAACTTGTTCCTACACATTTCTCAGGCAAAGGTGTTTGGGATTTCCGTACATCTGTGTAGTCCCCTGTTCGAATGAGTGTACAAATGGAACTGTTTGTCATCCGTGGCTTTTCACGCGAACCTGTTTGAAGGCCTACCAGTTTTCCGGAAGAAAACCTGTCAGGTAAGCCTTAATTGATTGGTGGTTTGGGTTGATTGGGGATTTCAATCCCTGGTTCTTGTCCTCCCCTGGACAAGAATGAGACACCATGAACTCGGGGGTCCCAGGTTCATTGATGGCTCTTGGTTCACCCCTGGTCACAACAGCCCCAGATTCAAGCATGGCTGCAAAAGCATCCTCGGCAGTTGGTGACAAGGAAACAAAACAAAAGAAACCAACAAACAAACATCTCAAACCGTCGATCCATTCAAACCCCTAATCCATACATCCATTCATAACAGTCCACTACTATTATATATATATATCTTTTACATTTGGATCAATGCCCCCTCGACCAGTCCCCCTGTTTCTAGCAGGGTTCTGAGGAGACCTGCAAACACTGTGGATTTCTCAGGGATCGTAGGGTTCAGTGATCCTAGGGTTTTGATCAAGAACGCCCACAACTCCCTACGAATGTACTAATATTTCTCAGGGGTCGTAGGGTTTTGTCCAAGCAGACCTATGCGTGTAGTGGCAGGCGGGCTTACCATGTGAGGGGGTGGGCGTGCTTACGTTTAGCAGGCATGTGCACATTGCTCAGCGGGCGCGCTTGAGCGAGTGCGCTTACCATTTAGCAGGTGTGCAGTGCTGAGCAGGCGCGCTGGAGCGGGTGCGCTTATCATTTGGCAGGCATGGGTGCACTTCAACAGGCGCGCTTACGATTTGGCAGGTGTTTGTTGGGGCCACTTGAGCGGGTGTGATCGAGAAGACGGACGTCCGGACACCAGGTGTGGTCCTGTCTTTCTTTGGTTGTGGCTCCAAGATTGATCCCATGCGTTCTCCCCTTTCTGGGTCTTTGTTCGACTGGTTTTTGGCTTCGAGTCTCCCCCCTCCCCTCCGCTTGTTGTTTGACGAACCTACACGCTGACCCTTCTTTTCTGACGCTCTCGTTTTGTATTGCTCTCTTCCTCTCGGCGGGCAGCCGGTCTGCCCCGGCACATCTGATCTTCTGGCACTGGTTTTCGCCCAGCGATCGAGAGACTCTTTCGTCTCTCGATGGGAGCGGTTGCCGATGAAGTGGAGCAGGGCGGTTTTCAAAAGCCAACTCACCCACCCCCACTTCATGGTTCACCTTTTTTATGAAAGGTGTCACGCCAGGGCCCGGTCGTGATCCATCCCCACCCACGCCTTGACTGCCAGCATTGATTTTCTTTAAGTTACAAAGATAAGTTGTTTTGACCCGGGCGCGGCGCAGTTCGGTGCTTGCTTGCTTGCTGGCTGGCTGGCGGGCTTGCTTGCTCGTTTGCTGTCTCTGTCTGTGTCTTTCCAGCGTCTGTTGTCTGTCTGTCTGTCTGTCTGTCTGTCTGTCTGTCTGTCTGTCTGTCTGTCTCTCTGTCTCTGTCCCTGTCTCTGTCTCGGTCTTTGTCTGTTTCTCTGTCTCTGTCCCTGTCTCTGTCTCGGTCTTTGTCTGTTTCTCTGTCTCTGTCCCTGTCTCTGTCTCGGTCTTTGTCTGTTTCTCTGTCTCTGTCCCTGTCTCTGTCTCGGTCTTTGTCTGTTTCTGTGTCTCTGTCCCTGTCTCTGTCTCGGTCTTTTTCTGTTTCTCTGTCTCTGTCCCTGTCTCTGTCTTGGTCTTTGTCTGTTTCTCTGTCTCTGTCCCTGTCTCTGTCTCGGTCTTTGTCTGTTTCTCTGTCTCTGTCCCCGTCTCTGTCTCGGTCTTTGTCTGTTTCTCTGTCTCTGTCCCTGTCTCTGTCTCGGTCTTTGTCTGTTTCTCTGTCTCTGTCCCTGTCTCTGTCTCGGTCTTTGTCTGTTTCTCTGTCTCTGTCCCTGTCTCTGTCTCGGTCTTTGTCTGTTTCTCTGTCTCTGTCCCTGTCTCTGTCTCGGTCTTTGTCTGTTTCTCTGTCTCTGTCCCTGTCTCTGTCTCGGTCTTTGTCTGTTTCTCTGTCTCTGTCCCTGTCTCTGTCTCGGTCTTTGTCTGTTTCTCTGTCTCTGTCCCTGTCTCTGTCTCGGTCTTTGTCTGTTTCTCTGTCTCTGTCCCTGTCTCTGTCTCGGTCTTTGTCTGTTTCTCTGTCTCTGTCCCAGTCTCTGTCTCGGTCTTTGTCTGTTTCTCTGTCTCTGTCCCTGTCTCTGTCTCGGTCTTTGTCTGTTTCTCTGTCTCTGTCCCTGTCTCTGTCTCGGTCTTTGTCTGTTTCTCTGTCTCTGTCCCTGTCTCTGTCTCGGTCTTTGTCTGTTTCTCTGTCTGTCTCTGTCGGTCTGTCTCTGTCTGTCTTTGTCTGTCTCTGTCTGTGTCTGGGAAGCTCAGGTCGGCCTGGTTCTTTCAAAATGTGCGCTTAGGCCCTTGCTCCCTGCGGTAGACCTTGTTCCAGTCCACCTGCGAATGCTTGGGTGTTCAGCTAACTTCGCAAGTCATGGTTTTAAGGGGGACGATCACCCAGTTATACCACTTGTAACCATGCTTATCACCTACTAAGTTGGTTGAACATCCAAGCCGGGCTTCCTCGCCAGTTCGCCTGTTGCAGTGGAATCCAGAGAAACAGTCCCTGGAAAATCGTTGTCAGGTTCCATGGCAACGACGAGAGGGTAGGGTCGTATTTTAAGGGAAAGGGACAGCAAACCCTGAGACAGCAGCGGGCACACCTTTGGGTCCTCTCTTTGTCTCTCTGTCCGACCTTAAAGAACTGCCAAAAGGAAGATATCTTTGAACTTGGCAAGCAACATGATTGAGTGGGCCACAGTCCCTCCGGACGTTTGGACAAACAATTCCCTCCCAAACGAGGAATCAACTGCCAGCAATTTTGTGAGTTGCTCCTGTAAGGCTTCAAAGCACCCGGAGAAAAAAAGAGGAAACAAAAACATAGGGAGCCCTGTCAGGGAAATTGGGCGGGTTCGGGTGGCAACCTCTAGGAAGTGCGTTTCTTGCGGGAGCCAATCTATGTTCAAAGTCATTCCTGGCTCGTGAGGCTGAGTGACTGGCCGTGATTCCAACTCAAACCGCCTCTGTCGAGGAACCAAACGCCTACCGGTTGGTTGGGAATGGTCCACACAGGTTTTTTGCGGCCTTTACCATCCCCAGCTTTTGTATTCCTCCATTTGCTGAAGCCTGGACAACATGTGAGCATTTTTCTTTCCTGTGATAGACCCACTTTAAAACCAACAGGTTGGCCAGAACACTATATTCTTATAAACAAATGGAAGTACTCGGCAAGCGGCATCTGGGGGAAGGAGTCGGGGAGTGTCTTCGAGGCTGGGGCGGAAAGGGGCGGAAGCTTGATGCAAAGCCGCTGAGAATCTCACAACTGGACGGGTCAGCAAAAGTTCAGACTTTTCGTCTACCACTGAGACTCGCTTCCTGAGTAGATGGGCCAAAAACAGTCCAAACTTAAAGTCCGAGATTTCGGGAAGTGAGAAATGGCCTTGCAAATTGTAGAAAGTCAAACTGGGAGTGAACGGCGATACAATGTCGACCCCTAAAATATTGATGTCCATCCCGGTGCATTACCAAAGGTCTTTCCCTGTGGATCTCAGTTATCCCTACAGTCGGTGACCAAACATGTTCCTGGCAGTTTTGTTGACGGTTGGATCACTCGCTCAACCACTCTTCCAACGCACATGGCTTTCCTGGAATCCATAGTACAGCAAGCACACAACCTGGCGCGGATATCTTTCCCACAGCCTCGGATCTGGGTTCCTCTTGGATCACCATGCCTTCTAATTGAAGGCCATGTGATCCCCTGCTACTCCGCACAGGCAGTTGAAAAAGCCTGGACAGAATCAAGGCTGTGCCCGCTATGCTCAGCCAAGGGTGGCCTTCAGGCATCTCGGCTTGGAAAAAGCAAACACACATTAGACAAAAACACAAAGGCAAAATATACTTTGTACCTCTCGAAGCTCGAGTGAACTGCTGCGAGTGCTAGCTCTCTCGGCAATGCAGGCTCAAACGAAGAGCGTTCCAACTGTGATTTGCATCTCACGCACAGTCCTGAGCCAGCTTCCATGATTGGCCCAAAAAACCGCTGGAACTTGTGGGTGTCCACAAAATAAGCACGGCTTCCCAAAAAGTAGAAAGTCCAGAATCTCCGAAAGTGAGTAATTAAGCTGCCAGCCGCCACATTTGTGTGGGGATCAGTAACATGGGGACCACTAAACCAACATGGGATCGATCCGTAAAGTTGGTCACAATCAAAGCCCGGTACAAAAATGGTCGACCCAGAACCATGTAAAGAACTATGAAGGCGGATATCCGCAGCTATTTATGGCAGTCGTCTTTTGTTGACCTTCACTCACCCGGGGCTCGGTTGGCTCAAATGGGGCGGGCGCGTTCAGAGCCCTGGACTGGGGAGACGAGACTGCTCGGTGTCAGTGGGTGACGATCAGCTGGTCCACGAAGCCCACAGAAATCACCCCCACGAGGATGACGATGCCGAAACCAACCTTTGGACGCCGACATGATTCGACTATTGGGGGGGGGGATGGGAACATTTTGTCTTTGAGGGTGCCTGGCTTTTTTGTGCCTTCAAAGGGAAACTACTAGGAAAACATCCAATTCAAAAAGACTGGTGATGGCCATGGGGGCAAACTATTAGTAACTCACTTCCGATCGAGTGGATTGGCAAAAAAGACAACTCAAACTGTCTGGCCACTGAAACTGTCCAGACCCGGAAAAGTGACTCAAGTCCAACTCGAGAAGTAAGATGTTGCGCCGATGTTTCCTGTCTGTGATGGTCTTGGACTCTGCCCCCAAGCACAGTACCAGTCACCACAATCTGGACCGCTACAGGTGGTTGATCCCATGTTGATCATCTACTGTTCGTGGGCAGAAAACAATCTGAGCCAAAGTTCAAGCCTGCGAAAGTGGGCCGTGACTTTGTTACTGCAGAGTTTGCCTTCTGCTGACCCCACTATCATTTGCCATGATCAAAGTCACCCCACAGTTCGGTTCAGGGAAGCAACCCCATCTTCGGACCATATCCCGCACAAACCATCCAAATCATACCCCTCCGGTTTCAAACAAAACAAGCCGGACTTCTCTACGATTCCGGGGCCGGGCCTTTTTGTGGACAAAGATGATGAACAGGAAAACATCAAGAGCAAACCGAAAAAGACACCCAAAGGACGCCATAAGACAACAAACGGCAAAGACACCAAAGGACACCAACAAAAACGCTAAAGGGCCACCACCAAATGACACAAAGGGGCGCCACAAAGCACCCCAGCAACAACGCAAAGCAACACCATTAACAAAATATAGCAAAGACGCATGCGGAAACAAAAGCACAAAACGCCAACACCTCCAACAAAAATGCCAAGGCATACACATAACACAACACAAAGACCGCAAGAACACAAGAACTCTGTAGTTGTACCTTCCCCATTCTTTCCAGGGATCCTTCTTTCTAAAAAGAACCTTCAGAAACTCAGGAGAAATCACTGGTTTTGGAAAATAAATCATGGTTGAATGGGGAATCGACCCCTAGAACTGCACAGAAGTTCAAAGCAAAGGCGAATCTGCGCGAGGGCGCTTTGGGGAAGTCGGCAAAGGTGTAGCACCCGGAGGAAAAGACCTGAGCCGCAGGGCAGCATTCCGAATGGCTGCCTGACAAAGGCAAGCCTCAGAAAGGGTTCCCCCACAAACATGCACACATATAAATATAGAATACATGTGTATGTATATATATATATACATGTGTATATATATATATACATATGGTACCCCCCATGGATCTACCTTCAATATATAATATATACTACCTCTAAAATAACACTATATTATTCTACCTATATATATATATATTACATATATATATATATATTGACGCACGCAAACCTGTATCTGCTGGGTTGGTCTGGGTGACAATCTGCAAGCAAACATTTTGAGGTCCAAAGCAATTAAGCCTGGCGTAGGTGTCCATGTTGGCCCGTGGAGAGATATGCGGACACGTTCAAAGCAAGCAGCGCTTGAAGTCTACACCTCGAATAAATTGCCCCAATTCGTTATGGGCATCTACTCCAGGGGTGGAGTAGAACATATCCAAACTGTCCACTAATTAAAAGGGTTTTCCCAAAGTGTTCGAAGCACAGGAATTCAGGGAGCGAGATGTTGGTTCAAATTCAAAGGCAAGGGTAACCATGTTTCAAACACAAAGCACTCATAGCGGAACCCCAGCGTCAAAGGAACCTGCCCAAGCCCCCGTGAGATGTCAAGTCACTTGGGCGAGTCGCGCACCCAAAGTCAGCTCACATGGAAGTGAAAGGTTGCATTCACTTGCCCAGGCAACTTGGAAATAAGGTTAACCTTCTGTGACCTTGGATATGGATTATCAAATGGGAAACCCCAAAGGTCAAAAGGTCGATTCGCTTTTGCAAATACAAGCCGGGGTCCGGAGCTGGTTGTCTGCTAGGGCGGCCCTAACAGGTTCTAATAAACGCTTTTAGCTTGCAACTTGCAAAGGACAATCATATCAATATCTGTAGCACCGGGAAGGAGTTCCACTCATGTGTTGGAACCCTTGGGTCGCCCAATTTGGGGAACAAGATCTGGTTGCTCGGGAGCAACGCTGAGTTGGGACCCTTCCAAACTGCTCATTGGCGGCAAAGCCATCTTAAATTGAATTCCGGCACCAACTTTCACCATCAATCCTGTGGCGGGAGTTCGGAAGGTTCCCTGCATGAGCCCCTATCTCTTGATTGATTTTAAGCCGAAAACTGCTTGTGTCACGCCAGAGGAATGATCACTATAGTACCACCGATTAAAGGCGCAGTCTCAGAACTAAATGCCCAACAATTCGAAACTCTGAAGCGGGCCTCCGGAGCCACGCCTAATTAATACGGACGGGGCGTTTGGCAAAGTCATTTTCCGGCGCAACAAAACAATTGAGGTCCATTTCGGCCAATAAACAACTCTATCTCATTTCCGGAATTCCGGAAATGTGTCCTCAGAATAAGCTTTGCAGCACGTCAGGTTAGCGTGGCAGGCCTGACTGTTGCCAGGTTGCTTCAAGATAAGGATTCCAACATATTACAACCCGATGGCTTCAGATTCAAGCGGCTCCTGACATTTGCCCTTATGAACCAGCGCGATGCGCAAACAATAAAGCGCACACTCCTTTTTCAAACATTCCGTTACACGAACCACTGCGAGTTTGCTGCTGTTCGTGCCTGGCAAACACCACGCCCCATGCGGATAATTAAATCTAAGCGAAAGCTGCTTCAAACCATGTCCTTGCCTTAGCGCAAAAGAGCCCGCGTTCATACTCGCGTGCGCGGCATCCGCGCAAGCGCTTTCCGCGTCTGGCGCCAGCAATTTAACATGCATCTGATTCATACGGTGCGCATAAAAAAACAAGAAAAACAACCAAACGCATGCTGTTAAATACTACTCAATGCTACTCGACTACTTAGGCGTTCAATTGTCCAGCCATGCTTTGCATGCTTCCACTCCCAACCTTCTCCACCTTCTCTCGCAAACCAGCCTCTGCCCCTAGAACCCGTTCACTCTGAGGCGGGGCGGCGCGGCGGGGGTGGGGTATTGATCTGACGTTGACATGAAGCCTCATGAGGATCTGAGATTCACGGCCCAAGGGCATCCAACAACATGCTGTTCTCAAACACTCATACCAACTGTCAGACTGAGTTGCTTCGCCGCAATCGCGGTTTCCTATCGTTCAACTTTGGACATCACCCCGCCAGGAAGTGCAAATCTGCTATGCATGCGCGGCCACCCTACATTACTTGGCCCTGCCAAATGGACCATACATCTAGGCGAGTTCTGATCTGCCCGAAATAGTCACATCAGGATTTGCAAGCAAAGGATCCTTCATATGCAAATTTATGTAATCCCCGGCGCGCATAAATGCGACCTGGATACCATGATGTTGGTCTGGTACGACACTGGCGATAAGACCTGAGCTGGACCCAATCTTCACATCCCGCAAAGGGGAAGCCCGAAAACACGTCACCCCCCGAACGTACCTTGAGAAAGACCAACGTACGCAACCAGACATATAGAGACCACAACTGGAGGTGTGTGTGTGTGTGTGGGTGTGGGTGTGCGTGTGTGGGTGCGTGCGCGTGTGCGTGTGCGTGTGCGTGTGCCTGTGCGTGTGCGTGTGTTTGTGCGAGTGCGCATGCGCGCGTGCTTGGGCGTGGGTGGACATGGGTGCGTGTTGGGGAGGGGTTGGCGCGTTGTGGGGTGTGTGGAAAGAGCAGTTTGTGAAATGGGGCAGCGTCTCTCAGCTGGCCTCAAAGAGAAATCAGAAAACTGACTTGAAGGAATTCGTTCCTGCAGATTTACGCAACCAACAAGGCATGTGTTATATTTCTGTCCCTTTCAATCCCGCCGAGCAACTTGGCTGACGGGCACTTGTAAGCAGAATGCCGCTAAATGATTCTCCGCTTCGTTCCACACCAGAAAGGAAGGAGGCGCAATATGTTCAATTCATTTGGACACACAGCAAAACCATATTTGAGGTCTTGTTTGGAGTCGGTGCCCTTATTCCGCGAAACCAAATTTAAAGAAGCACCTTTTGCTTTTTGGGACGGCCAACCCATCTTCCAGTTGGCGGGTCAGAAATTTGTCCGAACAATTCGGTAGTCAAATTAGCAGTGTTCTGGGCGAAACTGGGCGGTCTCCCTTTGGCTTCCCTTTTCAAGCAGTGTTCTGGGCGAAACTGGGCGGTCTCCCTTGAGCTTCCCTTTTCAACAACCCAACCCATAAAAAGATCTAAGATAGCTTGAGGTCGCAAATACAGAGGACCCACCTGCAAAAACAAGTTGACAATAAGTTGACACATGCTGCTCTGAAAATCAGATTGGATCCCAAATGGGGTTGCCCAAAACGGTGTTTTGAGGATCCCCGCTTGCAGTGGAAGTTGCCTTTGTAGTTTCCTTCATTTTTTCCAGAAACTTGTTGATCATCATTTCCTTCCTTTGTATTTGAATTCCTGCTTTTCCAGGTTTTCCTTTATTTTCCTTCTGTTCTTTGTTTTCGTAAACCTCTTCCTGAACAGGTTCCTTCATTTTCTGCTTCATTTGCAAACTGATTGCACCCAAGCCGCCTGGCAGCATGCGCCCATCATCATGACTGCCATAGCCTGCCATCACGTCACTTCACTCCCTATCCTCGCCCGTGCACATGAGAGCGCTTGCGCCTTGACAAGTCACGGTCACAGGCAGTGGTGTCAGCTGAAACACAGACATGAACGTTTGCCCGGCCCCTACAAAAAAGGGGCCATGTCCTATTGTCGGGTGACGGTTTAGTTTTGCGTCGGCCACCATTTTTGGTGGGAAACAACGACGAAAAAAGAAAAAAAGGCTGCCACTGAAAAAATGAGGCGTTTACAACAGACCTCACGAAAAGAACGAGTGTGGATGCAATCCTCGCCTTTGAAGAAGTGGGGAAACCGTCATTTCCAAAAGGTCAACAAGTCCTCCTTGCGCTCTGCACGCATCATTCAAAGCGGCACCTAAGAGACCTGCAAAGGTTAAAAGATGACAGGTCAAACACTACAGAGAAGCCAACAAAAAAGGGGGTTCAAGAAATGAGTCATCGTCAAAAAACCAGCGCTTAAATATGACGACTTATTGTAGCAAATCACCTTACAAAGACCCCCCCCCCCCCGGTCGTAATTGACTATCCCGACACAGCAATAATATACGTAAATATATGATATGCTTTGTGATCTAGACTAATATAGGAACCCCATGTCGTCCGCAACCGTTGTCATACAGGTTTCCCAGCGGTTTCCCACCTGGTGGAGCGGAACTGGGACATTCTTGCTCTCGCTAATGGCCACCACGATGGGAAAGAGCAAGCTCACCACCTCACACGTGGCAAACCCTTAGTAAGCATTCACAGAGGTTGGTCAAAGCAATGGTGCAACCAACCTAGGTCCTCGCAGTAGAGAGGTTAGAATAAGGGTACCCGACTTTTTTTTCTTTTTTTTTTCTGTAGTCTATTTTAGGAGGGGAACCCTCCCCAAAAGAAGGGTGAAAGGGCACTACTGGGGGATTTGGCAACCCTACTTGGATGATCAACCAGCGCAATAAGTAGGTTGTAACTGGTGTAACTGGGGTCATCGTCCCCTTAAAACCTTGTTTAGAACCTGCTTCCTGAGTTGGGTGAACACCTAAGCACGGAGCGACTCACTCACTTGCCCTTTGAGGGCAAGTTCAGAAGTAAGTCCAGTAGCTCCGAAGGCTCCCTCTGCAAAAACAAATTTGGATATCCCCAGTTCCTTGGCTCCCTTGCAACCACCAGCTAGTAGATTCCAACTTCACCAAAAGAAATACATCATGTGAAATGCATATGGAAGATAATGGAAGCAAACAACTGGAAGGTTAACAATTGCAAACATTCATGAACATTCAAAGATGCCTGGGTCATGTCAAAGCCTCCATCAATCACAACCGGTCAAGTTTCGGTCTGTCTTTGGACCGATTTTCTGGGCTTGAGACAAACCCACCCAGGCGGTCCCTGCACCTCCAAAGGTCGATTCGCTTTGGTTGCAAGTCAGTACCCGATCTGACAGGGGGTCCCTGTAAAAGGAAAAAATGTTCTTCCAGGACCCCCCGAAACGTCAGGTTCCGGCTGGAAAAAAGGTGGGAGGGTAGCAGAACATCTACTAGGTCCTCCAGTAGAGAGGTTAGTTTGGAATAAGGGTGCCCGATTTTTTTTGGGGCGAAAGAGCGGGCACCTAGCCGGGGGACCGACAGGATCTCTGGGCCGAGTGGCCGCGGTGCAGTGGAAGACGATGCCCAGGCCCACCGTCGCGATGAAGATCCCCGCCATGACCCCCCGCTGGCCCAAGGGCGCCAGCAGCTGGCCTCGGATCCATCGGCAAGCGGCCAGCCGAGCGGGGGGGGGGAGAAACCAAAGGGATGCCCAACTTGGGCCGTCGTTTTTTTGAGGGTGGCAACCTTTTGGATGGCTTTAAGAAAGAAACCAAAAGCACCCCTATTATTTTAGGCGTTCCAATCATGTTGTTATCTGGGATTATCTGGGAGCCATGGTTCGCATCTGTTGTTGTTGGCCAGGGTTGCTTTAAAAGGAAACCTCAAAAGACACACGCACACACACACACACAGCAAAGTGAAACCAACTTTTGCAGATTTTCAAGCATGATTGGATTGGCACATCTTGATGCTTACAGTTCCACAAGGGTTGTGACAACACCATGGGTGGCTGTTTGTGGGTTGGGGTCTCCCAGCTTGAGTAAACCGGCCAAACAGACAGGCATGTCATTAGAGGCTGGGATCCACTGCAGGTGGCATATGTGCCACGGCCAAAACTCCTTTTGCGGATTCTGGAAATGATGACCTTGGAACCCCTATGGTCCATCCAAACCTCCCTTTGTTTGCCACTAAAAAACGATGGTTAGACTCTTCAAAGCACCACATTGGTGCTACTGGTACCTTAATCGCGAAACGGTGCATCCTTTACGCCGCATAAGGATTAGTGCCAAAATGGGAGGATTGCCCAGCTCCACTGGGCAGCTCCCCTCAGCAGCTGATGGGAGTAGAATTGATGCCACTCCCACAGCGAGGGAGGAATCCTCCCACCTCACCGGATGCCCTCCCGGCATCATGGGTGAGGAAGGAAAGTAGCGAAGATCAGCTTGATCAATTCGCTTTCGACTGAGGGGAAGACCCGGTTCTCAGTCGGAAATTGCGGGTCCGGATGAGTAAGTTCATCCGCCCATGTGTTAAAGTCGCGCTTCACATGCGACGGTCCTAACATGACCTGGTGGTCATGCAGTGTTAACACAATTTCCATGAGGATGGCCGCATTGGGCATCCTGCGAGTGGAATCGTTAAGCAGGGAGAAAACGTTTCCCTGGTTATCACTAGCAACCAGAATCCTAGTGTGAGAAGCCGAGCCGGCTGCACAAAGCAGAACAGCCCTCACCAAAAGGAGGAGGCCGAAGAGCTCCAAGGCCGCTATCGCCCGCTGCGGGTCCCCAGTAGTGAAGGCCCACGGCTCGCCCTCCGGTGTGATTCTGTGTTGGAACCACTTCACTCGGGACTTGTCGGGGTTGGGCACGTCCGAGCACCAACCACCAACCCATGCATGGTCCGCCTGTTTGCCAGCTCCCGCATCAGATGCCCCCGTCCATGGAAGTGTGGGAGCAAATGGAGATGCCAGTGGGAACCTCTGGTTGAAGAGCTTCCCCAGAAGGATGGCCAGAGCACGAACCAGCTTCGGTGGCCTGCCCGAAGTGGTGCAGGCCTTCTTCCAGCTCCAAAAGGGCTGGAGGAAAGGTTTCGTCAATGGACACGCCGAAGTAGCCCATTGAATCCGGCCCAGGGCTTGTTCCACCTCCTTGCTGGTAAAGATGTCCCCCTGGGCCAGCCGTTTGAGAGTGGCCAGGATTATGACGTGCTTGACTGGAGCCAGCAGCACACAGGGCGTGATTGGGTCCACCACGAATCCCAACCAGGTATTGACCGGGGAGAGCGCCGTCTTCTTCCAAGAAAGCGGGACTCCCAGCGCCAGAAGAGTGGCCAGGATGGCTGTGGCGTCCCAGTCCGCCCTGCTGCATCTGAGGACCCAGCAGTAGTCGTCCACAAAAACTAAGTGCCAGTCCACCTGAGGGAAGATGTAGTACAAGAGTCTGAGCACCAAGGATGCCTTTCTTCCCCAGTACAGTTGTGCCGAGGCCATGCCGTACGTGCCCACTCTATTGACCCACCACCGGTTCTGGATGCAGGCCACCTGGTATTTCCAGTCTTTCTGGAGCACTTTTATGCGCCTGTGGGCCTTGGTGACATCCGCCTTGAGGATGATGAAGGTTTCCCCCTGTGTCGGCGGCTGCCACGTCAGGGGTTCCCCCCTGCTCCCCCCAGGGCGTTCCGTGCCTGGGGGGGTTGGGGGGAATGGGGCCCTCCTATCAGGGCCCTCGGCACCTGGGAGTGGCCCCTTCCCTGAGGTGTTGACCGCGGAGAGACGTCCAGGCCGCCGGAGGTCTCCATCATCCGCCTGCCCCTATCAGGGCCCTCGGCACCTGGGGGCAGGCTGGTGCTGTGGGGGTCCCTCTCAGGGCCCTCGGCACCTGGGGACTGCCCCTGCACCGGCTGGTGAACATCCCGAGGTTCCTCATCAGTGCCCGAGGATGGGGCTCGGAGTAGATGAGGATGGTCCGCCGCTGTCCTGAGCCAGTGGATGACATGGAGGCAGTCTCCAACCATCGATGCGGTGGTCTTCTCCTCCGTGTGAGCCTGGATGTGTGCGTTTGCTCCCCCTTTTGAGCCATCATAGATCGTCCTGATCTTGTCCGACTCATCAATCCCTGCAAGGGGGCCCGGGCAAAGTTCCTCCGGTTTGCAGCGGCACCTCTCTGCCGCCTCGGAGCGAGTGAAGGGCCCGTCCACCATGTCCAAGGCTCGTTCCTCGTAAAAGGTTGATTCGATTTCCTTGGCAAAGAGTTCAGCCGTTGGGTAGTTATCATGAGCCACTGGCGGGGGGGGATCTTCCCCCAGCCAGGCTTCTCCCTTAAGCTCCTCCTTAGTGGGCCAAACTCCCGGGGAGGTCAAGGTAGGGTCCGAGACTCCCAAGGGGACCCCCTCTTTCAGTGTTAGGGGGAACTCCCAATCAGGGTCACCTGAAAGGGATGCCAAGTGCGACACTAAGTCCAGGAGGAAGGGTTGTCCTGGGCATCGTTCATGGAGGTGCCTCGGTCCTAGGATAGCCCGCAGCTCCTCGAGGTCGGCTTCCTGGAAGGGGTGTGTGGTGGCACCTGATGCCAGGGACATTCGGACCTTGTCAATCCAGGGCCGGGTAAGGGTCATGATCAGGGCGCCCAAAGTAGCCAATGGGGAAATTCTCCGAAAAGGGGGGTTGAGCCTCCCTGGGGAAGGTTTTCCCCCCCCATCCCTCAGGGGGCGTGAGCGGAAACCCAATTGGACAATCGCCACCCGGTCAGTGAGGTGTGGGACCCTGAAAGCGGGCAGGCATTCGGGGCGGTCCAGGACCTGGTCCCCCTGTCCCTCCTTCCCCAGTTGTTCCGCATCTCCGGCCATCGGGGGCATGGGAGATGGGAAGTCTGGGTTCATTGTTCCACGAGGGCTTACGGTGTCTGCCTCAGGGTGGAACTGCCCGTGCAGGCGGGGCTTCGGGGCGTTCTTGCCTCCGGGCTTTGAGCCCTGGTGTGATGAGGAGGGACCGCCTCCTTGACTGGGCCCCCGTTTTCCCCGGGGGGAATGGCCTTCCGGGGGGTCCGACCCCCGCCCCTTAGGTGGTTCCTTGGGGTTTCCCGGAAATTGTGAGGGGATCCGGATGTGCCCCGGCGCTGCGAGTGACACAGCGATGGCTTTGGCCAGGCCTGCCATCATATCCCAAGGGTATCTGCTAAGAGTCGAGGACTCGTTGGTGCCCACATGTGACTGATGCGTGCACCGCATTTGATCCCAGTCCTGGATCGGGAGATCCGTGGCCAGCGTAGTGGCCTTCTTGACCAGCTGGCCCAGGCGGCACTGGTCGAAGGAGATTGCTGTCAAGGAGTTCTCCTCCATCCAAAGCTGCCCCTCCTCTGTGATCCAGAAGGATGAGCATTCCTTGGCTTTGGGCAGCGAGCTGCTCACCACTGGGTCCTCCGGGTGTTCCAGGAAGGACCTGGGCCCTGGCAGAGAAACCGCCGCTCGTGAGGCCCTTGCCAGGCTGGTGATGTACATCTGTCTCAGAATGAGGATGCTGTCATCATCAAGTTGAGTCTGGGCGGCCTGGTCCAGGTGTGGAAGGCCCCAAAGTGTCTCTGGAGTGCGCCCTCGCACCGGGGTGGGAGCCCCCGGTTTTGGTATGTGGCGCAGGATGGACCATGTCCTGCAGTTGGGTCCTCCTCCAATGAAGACCACTCGGCCCTGCTTTGCTGCCGTGCAAAGAGCTCCATACAGCTCGGGTTGGAGCATATCGTGGTCCCCTTTTGGTCCAGACCGTAGGATGTCTACCGCCACCACCATGCTGGAAAGGTGTGGGTAGTTGGCATGAAGACAGCTGTCCAAGGAAGTTGGGTCTTCCTTGCCTGCATAGAGCAGGACAATGATGGGCCCACTGGATGGAACTTTGGGCGATGTGCCCTGTGTCCATCTCAGCCGCTGTACCAGACGCTCAGGGATGTTCTCCATCCACGGGAAGATGTCCAATCCCGGTGACGGCTCCGTTGGACTTGTCAGGGGGGTAGCTGAAAGGCGTTGGCCCCCTTCATTCAGCCCCACCGAGCTCTTGTGGAAAACCACCGGGTCCTGCTTGATGATGTTGGGCGCCGGAAGTGGGATCGGCTGCTTCCTGGGAGTGTCCCTTGGCGTTGCGGTGTGCTGCCAGTCATCCGGCACTCGGGCCTTCTGGGTGCGGCCCCCCGTGTCAGGGCCCTCGGCACCTGCGGGGAACCGTCCCGTCCCCGCCATATCAGGGCCCTCGGCACCTGTGGCTCGGGACTGAGGCGCCGCCGTTGTGCCGGTTGTGTGGCTGTTCTGATCACGGCGAGGGCGTTGTGCACGCTGGTTCTGCCGTCCCCATCCTTGTTCCGCCGAGGATGGCCGCCACCTGGCCTGTCCCCCCCCTGTGTCAGGGCCCTCGGCACCTGCAGGAGGGGGCTTCTGTGCCTGCTTGGGGCGTTTGCGCCCCTTCTCGCCCCCCCGGGCCTTATCAGGGCCCTCGGCACCTGAGGCCTCCCGGGGGGTAGGGGTCAGCGCCCCTAGTCAACCCGGGCAGTCCTGCGGGAGGTGGTCCCCCAGGCAGATGCGGCCCATTGCCAGGATGAGGTTGCACTTGTGGGTGCGGCCGCAGTTGCCCGGGCAGCGCCCGCGCATCCAGTTGTTACAGAACTGGTTCC